CATCCTACCTGAAGCTGCTGAGCAGTAAGAAGATAAGGAAAGTTATCCTTACTATGAAGTAGATTAGAAAATGAGTAGAAATGGTGAACAGCTCATCTGGGCATGGGCAGTGACACAGGGAAGTGGGTGTGGAGGTGACAAAATAAGTGTCAGAGGCTCTTTGCACAGCTTTCTGAAGCAGAAAGAACTGTGGGTGAAGCTGAAGGTTTAAGAAGGCTTAGATTCATGGACACATATAGCGACTAAACTAATTTAACATTTACAGAAGAGATGAATACTAAGCTATGGAGCTCAAAGATTTAAGAATCTTTTCAGTTTAAGACAAGCAACAGATTTTAAAATGCCTGAGGAAAGTAAACCAAAGGTTACTTGAAGATCTGTCTGACAGAGAGGAAATGTAAAGCCATTTCCTGCCAGAGAATTAAACTTAGTGGCTCTGTGACTGAAAATGCATCCATGAGGAAAATAACTCCAAGCTGCCAAAGCCAAGTACCCTTGGATGAAGCTGCAACAAACCGTGGACAAATGCCGGAAAGTAAGTAACACTCACAACATTGTGATAATAGCCAAACAACTGAAATGCCAACTGTAAAGCTTTACAGGAATGAAGGCTACAAGACCAGAAAGTTTAAGAACAAGAAGAAAATTTTGAAGAGAGAAAATTTTGTTATCTTCCCTGATAATTCAGCTTTCCGCATCAAGATAACAGTCAGGGCAGACTAGAGAGAAAAGGATTATTTTTTTTCAAGACATATTCCAAATTAAGTATCAAGTCTAACACCAGAAGGGAATAGATTTTGGTTCCCATTAGTATGTTTGTATTCACTGCAATATGTTGATGAAGTGCATTTGTTAACAGAATAACAATTTTGAAAATACCTGTCAAATACTACTAACAGCAGGAGTCGCCTGGGTACACTGGCAGCCTACCTTTAGGATGGGCCTTCTCTAACACTGAGAAATGTCCCAAACTTATCACTGTAAAGAAGAAATGGAGATGCATGCCTCTAGCATGTCTGGCTATGAAATCTCCCTGTGATGGCAGCAGAAATCCATAATTCAAGCTTAGGAGAATGCAGAAAGAATATTAAATGCAAGATGCTTCCTTAGAGGGGCAGAGACTGCTTCTTCTCAAGGAAAAAAAACCCAACAAAAGATACTAGTAACTTGTTGTGTGTAGGTATACAAGCCTAGAGAGTTGCAGTGTTTTGTTTTTAAAACTATCCATATGCACATTTTAACCCTGATCTAGTGATCTCACATTGCCTAAAGCTTGTGACATTGCTCTAACAAGTGCTGCAAAGCAAAGAAGTCCTTATGAAGCATTCGGTCACCTTGCACAAATGAACAAGGCCTTCCTTGTCAGTAAGACACCACACCACATGCAAGTTCCTAGGGCAGATGCAGGCATCTGTGGAAACAACTGAATGTAACAATGAGACCTAAGAAGTCCTCTAATGTGCAAGCTGAAATGTATTAGAAGTCTTAGCATATAGACTTGTTACTGCCAAAAATGTCTTTCTTGTGACCTTCAGGAAACATGCCCTGCCTGGCCCTCTAGGTAATATAGTGGGTCATTTCCACATGGATCAAAAAGACCCCAAAGGTAGTGGTATCTCCTGAACATCTCACATGCACTAGAACAGCTCTGCTTCCTTGCTGGAAGTCCCAGCCACACTGGATTAGGTCAGATCTCCAACATGCCCCAAAATTTTGCTGCCTCGTGGCTTCAGGGCCATAGCTGGAGGCAAAACTGCCAGAGCTGGTGACAGTGATAGCTCTTCACTGGCCTTTGTTTACCCCAGTATGTCAGCTACCATAAATGACAACTATGTTCTATGGCTGAATCTAACTTAAATGGCGAAGAAAAAATTTTCAAAATTGATGATTTTCTTCCCAATGCCAAGAACTGTAAACCTACTGCTGGCAAAGTTTTAGCAAATTTCTGGATCAGCAAAAGTCCCACCTCTGTATCGCACTTCATACACATTATATTTTAAATGTCATTCTTGAATGAACTGGTTCTGCTTAAAAATTCCACCCATGCAGACATTTTTGCAGAGATACTT